GTGTACGCATAAGTGAAATCTCCTAAAACTTTGTTAGCTTGAACAACATCCGTCATGTTTTAACCTTATGTCTTCCAATTGCTTTTTAGCTGCATCAATTTTGTGCGCAAGCTATTTCAAAAGTGCTTCACGGTAAAGCAACCTCATTTCAAAATTTTTATTTTTTGCAAAAATTTTACTGTCAGTTAAAGCATTTGAAGTTCGACTATAACTATTTCCAGCAAAGTTTTTGGAAAATCTTGCACGCTAATGACTTTCGAGACGTTTTTCAAACTGTTCAGGGTTTTTTTGTACACCCTCAATATCTAACTTTTGCACCTTTACAAAACCACATATGTCTTCATTGCACGGTTGTATTTGTGCATAAAACGTTCTAACAATGTGGAAAATTAAATGAACGGGATCCCGTTGAGTCACCTGATTTTTTCAGGTTCCTGAGACGATTGCTTAAATTGTCCAGCAAAGTGCAAAGATCATATCTTCATTTAATTTCAAACACCGCACTGCATAAAACATTCAATGTGGCAAATTGATGATCTTCATAACGTTATTTTGCTCTGTGATATCATAACGATGTCATTTCGAGTGATGAGGTTATAAAGTCATTTTACATATTCTTTGCAATTCAATCAAATAAATTCGTTTTACAATTTGGTGTCATAAACACCAAAAATAAGCAATAAAAACACATGTGCACAAAATTTAATAACTATATAATACCTTTATGATTAGCTTCCTTTTTCGCCTCAAGAACTTTTTTTGTCAAAGCCAGCTCACGCTGCGAGCCTTAACAACAAAAATATATAAATTTTGAATGATTGAAATAAAACTGCCGAGCTCATACAGAAGACTTGGTGTGGAAATGCTTGTAGTAACAAATGGGAAGGTTAATGTACTGCACAGTTTTTTATAAAAAAAGTTCAACTCTTGGTTTTCCCCACCCAATGTTTACTTGATCTTGAAATGACACAGAACAAGGGTTAAGACAGGCCTTTTCAAAGTTCAAGAAGTTCCCCAGGCACTTTTCTCTAAGAAGGCCGAGACCTTTTTCTCAGAACATTTATACCCATCTCGCTCCTACAATAGAATTCCATCTCATCGCTTCTGCTCCTGAGAAGACCGAAACCTTGTTGTCAGAATTTTTATACTCATCTGCTCCTACAGAATTCAACACATTGCTTCTGCTCCAGAGAAGGCCGAGACCTTTTTCTCATTCAAACTGACCTGACTGCAGCAGCATGATCAAGATAAACCCTATTGTTCATTCAATGTGAAAGATATTTTCACTACCACTTATACAAGAGTATAAAGTTGCCTGTATACTTCTATTTTTCATAATGAAAGATATACCAAACAACATTTCGTCCGACTTCTAACCATTGACATATCAAGTTTGGCATTCCAACATAACGCTATAGATAGCGTCTGTATCACGTCTCAAGCCAACGACTGGTCAACTAGCAAATGACGGGTGAAAATGCATGTTGACCGGCAAATTTCCTACCTTGACCATGAAGACAATTATTCTTTTGCATCGCTGTATTATTTCATATCGTCATTCATATTTCTTTTTAATTAGTGTGTTAAAATACACTGGAAAATGAGAATTAATATCTTCGGTACATACTTTTAAACAAGACAAAAGCTTAGCTATCTCTTGATCCTTTTCATTCTGTTTTCCGTTCATTAGAACCATCAAAGAATCTCTCTTCCTTAGTCTTATTACATTCCATTGCTTTGTTTTCCAAGTTTTAACGGCTTTATTTCGATCCTCCATGATCACATCCAATTCCTTCGAGCGGACTTCCAGTTTTTTAATGCAAGACAGGTCTCTTCCATTTTAGTCAAAACGTGAACATTAGACTCGAGTTTTTCCGTCAACGAATCGCAATTTTTCTTTAATTGCTCGTTTTCACGCACTTTTTCTTCAAGAAATGCGACGATTTGCTTTCGCTCTTGCAACAACGACGCTCCGGTGAGTTCTTTTGATGCAAAACTCCAGTCATGTTCACACTTCATGCTCGTTGAACACTCGTAAATTTCTTTCTCGTTCGACCAGCTTGCCTTGCAGGTCTTCAATAACCCTGCGAGCACGATTCAAATCGTCCACGTTTCCGCGTACAATACTCGACAAATCATGTCTCTGGTTTTCGCATTCATGATTTCTTCTTTTTAAAATGTCGCATTCACGAGATATATTTGCATCGCCTCAAAGACAGATTTCTCTGTTTCGACAGTTTCCAATTTTTCCATCAATTTTACGCTCTTTTCGACATATTTTACAATTTCTGTTCACGACTCAGCTCGTCTTGTAAAGCGAGCATCTCTTTTTGTGTTCCTCCAAGTTTTCTTGATGTTGTTTAATCAAGACTTGCATATTTTCATCTACTTTCTTCGCATCATCTTTCAACTGGAGATATTTCACGAATATATTCTTGCTCTTGTTGTTCATTACTTTTCCATACATTTTCCAAATTTAATGTTCTATCTTTTATTTCACCCCAAAGATTGAACGCGCCTCTATACTCCGCTGTATTTTAGTGTTTTTCTCGTAGTTTTCTCCTCAACTCTTCGTTTTCCACTCATCGACGTCAAGTCGCCTTGTGATTCTTCATTAGATGTCAAATTGTCGCTCTATAAAAGCAAAACGTACATGATATACATGAATGCTATTTACTAGATGGTATGTCCTGTATAGAAAAATATTCTCCCGAAGTTTCCAAACGACCCGAGGCTGCAGACCATGAAGGGACGTCTTTTGACACCGAGGGAAAATATTTTCCTATCTTGACCGACCTAAAAGGTAAATAACGTTTTTATTCTTTCTTGTTTTGTTGAAGGCAACAGTCTTGTAAGATTGTGAAGTCGCATTCCAGGATGGCGACAAAGTAAACAATCAAAACTTCGCCGTTCATTTTACTTTGGACAACTCAAAATTCACATAAAATTGATCATTGTAATCAAAAGTTGGCCAACGATTTCCTTTAAAAAACAAATCAAACAACTTTTCACTCAGGTATTTAGCTGCAGGATTAGCGACCACGATCAAAGATAGTGAAATCTTTTCCGCTGCTGCAGCCACTCAAATTGCGGAAATACTAGTATTCAGCCAACTGCTGACTTGTAAAATAAATAAATATATAAATTTCTTCGTGCGATGAGATTGTCTAATACTTCATTTAAGGAAAGAAATTTGAAATAAATACTTGAAAGTCATCCTGTTTCATCGTGTGCTCCAATTCAGTACGCAACGAAGCAATAGACTCTTCCATAGAAGCAATCGTCAGTTCCTTTTCATTAATACATTTCTCGTGTTCTTTCCTATGAAGCACAGTTAGGCAAAAACTATAAGGGACAAGTTCCATCAAAAAGATATAAAAAACCACTACATATATTTGCGACGAAAAAAAGTCCGTCCTATAGTTCAAACGTGAAGTGAGATCAATGCCGAATTGCTGCAAAGTTAGACAAGAAATTTGAAGTAATTTACAATGATTATCAAAGATACTGTAGAGTTTCAAAAGTAGCCTCCACCTGAAAGTAACCGCCTCGTCGAAAATAGTCGCTTTGTGCCTCTTTTAACATTTAGTAAGAATCACAAAAGTAACCGCCTTCTTTATAGACCTTGCTTTACAACATTTATACTTTTAACAAAATAAAAGGTTGATGTACATTTGTGCGAACTACCACAAGATTACACAACTTTGAACGCAAAAATACCGTTCATACAACGTAGATTAAGAGCTAGCCATTGGAGTCAAATGATGATGAAAATGACAACTTGAAACTGAGCAACCCACCGAAAATAGCCGCCCTTAAGGTCACTTAATTTGAATGTAGCCGGGCGCATTCTATTGAGACTAATCGGTATACAGCTAATCAGTTTGGAACGAGGATATGTTAACTACAAACAGTCAATGTTTCTTCACATGGTCATGTTGTGTTGTGTTTAAAATTGTCTCGGAATGAATCTCAGACACACTATGGAAAATTATCAAAAACATCACTGCTTGGTCTCACGCCACTTTCTAAGCCCTTTCCATTCCATCGCGTGGTTTCTGCAACACAAACCTGACTTCTTCTATTTCTAATAATAATTTCGCGTTGCGATTACGTTCCATCAAGGTTCTTTCAGCTATGTCAAGGGACCTTGCATGGTCCGACTCCATTTTCTGACATCTATAAAGATTGGAAATACCAAAATAATTGTAGCCAATACGTAGATGTTCAACTGTATAAAAGGCAAAATTGAATCAAACTTTAGCGTCGCATTTTCATTTTCAGAGGATCATTAAAAGCCTTACTTGTTCTCGTATTCGTGAACAAGAGTTGTCTTATCCAACTCGCTGGCATGCTGCAAGTCCTTCATTTTCTTCGAACTAAAAATCCGATAAAACTAGAATCTCATACACAGCAGTAAAGTATTAGTCATATTTCATTTCAACTTTCTGGTGTTCGCCTCTTCAAAACAAAAATCTTCTGAAGTAAGACAAATAATATCGTAACTTTGCATGTACCGCGTGCATAATGTCAAAGTGCCCATGTAAAGGAAATAACTTCTTTAGATAGTTGAGTCGAATTTAGGAACATTTTCAATATATTTGATATGACGAAAATTTTATCTTTATGGGTTTTTCGGGCCTAGAAGTGGGTGATTACCACGCCGGATAAGACGTAAAAAGGAGAGCACATTCATAACGTAAAGCTGCATTGTACAGGTTTATAGAAAACTAGACGCTTGCTCAGGCGTACACTCGTACTTTGTAAAATTTTGTAAACAACAAAGTCAAAATATCGATAATATTTCTTGCTTTCATATAGGTATTTAAAAGAATATATTGCACCATGCTATAGGTTGTAGCGTAGCCTTGTCTTTTTTGCGTATATATTTCGCATCCTTCGTATTGTTTGTAAAAGGACGGCTTCAATGTTTTATTGTCGAAGAATTATATTTTGTCACTCTTGCAGTCGCCATATTGTAAAGCGCAATGCATTCTGTCAACAAAGTCGATTTCTCGACACCAAAAGCCATCTCCACTCGTGCCCCTCCAGAGCACGAGTAACAATAAAGCTGTTTGGCGAAATCTTCCTAAAAAACCGCAGTATAAGTTCAAGATGCCGCACGGTGTATAGTTTGACGACATCGTTTGAGCAAAAAATCAAAGAAAACATTTATAAAGTAAAGTCAATAAAGACAAATTTTCAACCAATCAAATATCTTGCAAATATTCTTAAAATCGATTTAGGAGGAGTGTCGAACATGAGCAACATATGCAGGCTTGCAGTAGTGCCTTTCATTAGGGAGACAGTAGCTATCGAGAGCATGATATTGAAGTTTGAAAAATAAGTTATGTATAGACAAGGTTGAGTCACCAATTTCAAAATAAAAATTTCACTTTTGATCAAAACTTAAATCGCATATTGGTTCAATTATCTTAAGAATATCAAAATTTAATCACTAATCCTGACACAAAACCTTGCTTTCTTTTCTGCTTCTAGGCACTCAATTTATATACTGCACGATGATAAACACTTTAAGTCCTTTCGTATACCTTCAAGCGATCATCTTTCAAGTCTGCAATTGTTTTCGTCCTGTCTAAACCGTTCCAAGATTTCTTTGCAAAGATGCTTTTCCAGCAATTCATTGTCAACTAATGAAGTTTGACCCGACGCAGTTTCTATTCCAGGTTCTATTTCTTCGTTCCTCAGCAGTTTATGAATGTTAATCAACACCATCTGCGTTTTAAAGTGCTTACCTTTGCACTGAGATATTTCCTTAATGTGTAAAGAAAAAAGAATTAGGTAAGGAAAATTCTGTAAACAGTAGAGGGGAATAATGAGAAATCTCATCCACCGCCATCTTTCCTCTTTGGGTTGACAAAACAGATAATGTAGAAAAGCAGTGACGTAGCAGTGACGTAGATAATCCATACATTTACCCAGCTATGCAAATATTTCTCCGTTCACTCACAGGAAGCAATATATTTCTAAAGACATGGATAATGGTAATTCTACGAAATTTACATATAGAACGACTAAAACGTTTAGTCTGGTTACGGCATTTCATAGAAGACAGAGTAAAATACAGGCAGATATATATGAAGTCGTAGTTCTCAATTTTTGCACGATTTGGCAAATGTTACACATGATAGCTAAAGCAACACTTTAGTGTTTTTTACTTATATTTATCTTCTACATATCTAAGCTGGAGAACGCTCATTTTTAACCTCCATGTTTTCGGAAACTGCTTCTTCTTTATGCCGTGTTGTTTCAATGATAAAAGCTCGTCGTCAATTCAATTCCCATACGCGAGGAAAAGCTCTACCTACTGCAAAGCCAAGCTACAACTTACATGGTTACGTTGCTCCAGTGTCTGCTTTGACTGCTGTAACGCTGTTTGCAAATGATAAATCAACTGTTGTTGTCTCAGTGATTCTTGCTGTCTGTATTAAGATTGAACATGTTGTCAGTGCCAACAGAATAAACTATTGTCGGACAGAAACATAATATTATGTACCAAGTGCTTAGGGAGGATTAACCAATAACAAAAGCAAAGGAAGACACTACACGAGGGAGAAGTCATTAACCAATTGTTTTCAAATAACTTTACAAAATTTTACTTTTTGAAAACATTTTTCCGTTTTAAATGCTTAATTTCAAAAGGGCATGCACGCATCTACGAAACTTTTAATTGTTTTAGAACTGTTCTCGTGTTCCAGGCTATGTCTTATAAGAGTTTGTTTTTATCTCCCTCTCAACATTCAATCTTCACCGCAATCGTTCCTTCGTTGCAGCGTTTCGTGAAAACCGTTCACAAATAATGGCCATATTTACAGATGGTGATAAATACCTTAATTTTAATAGTTCGTCGCGACTGGTTATCGCTTGGCCAAGCCTATGTTCTAAGTCCTTGATTAACGTCGAAAAATTCTTTTCTTGCAATTGATTTAGTTCGTGCGCCTGTAAAAGTTGACATTGTAATTTGTCCGCAATTAATTTCCCGACGGCTCTATTCTACAAATCTATTCATCCATCTGACCGTAATGGCTTTTCACGTGAGCTTGAGAATTACAATGATGCAATCAGATCTCTTGTCACTCACAAACAGAACTGAAAAATTTCTAAAATAAGCTACTCTTTCTTGAATATAGGCCATTCCTATGAAATTTTTTGAAATGGATATCCTCCCTTTGAGATTATCCAAAATGGTTTCTCCCCAGTAAATTATTGAAATGAAGACTCTCCTTCGAAATCACTGAAATTAAGACGCTTCCTAGGAGATTTTAAGAAAGAGACTCTCCCTTGGAGATTCTACGTCAATGAAATGGAGACTTCTCTGGAGATTCTTAGAAATGGATACTCTTTCTTAGAATTAGAGCTTTTCTGGCAGAAAAAACTTCGGTTTTGGTTATTTTTTGAAACGAAAAACATTACAAACGTATTAACTCAATTACGAACATGACGAATTGACAATTCAGGGTAAGCCAACGTCATGATATTACCTAGTTTGCAACGAGTTTTCACGGATTTGTGGTATTACCTAGTTTTGCAACGAGTTTTCACATATTTGTGGTATTACCTAGTTTGTACGAGTTATCATAGATTGTGGTATTACCTAGTTTCGTACGAGTTTTCACATATTTGTGGTATTACCTAGTTTCGTACGAGTTTTAACAGATTTGTGATATTACCTAGTTTCGTACGAGTTTTCACAGATTTGTGATATTACCTAGTTTCGTACGAGTTTTCACAGATTTGTGGTATTACCTAGTTTTGTACGAGTTTTAACAGATTTGTGATATTACCTAGTTTCGTACGAGTTTTCACAGATTTGTGGTATTACCTAGTTTTGTACGAGTTTAACAGATTTGTGATATTACCTAGTTTCGTACGAGTTTTAACAGATTTGTGATATTACCTAGTTTCGTACGAGTTTTAACAGATTTGTGATATTACCTAGTTTCGTACGAGTTTTAACAGATTTGTGATATTACCTAGTTTCGTACGAGTTTTCACAGATTTGTGATATTACCTAGTTTCGTACGAGTTTTAACAGATTTGTGATATTACCTAGTTTCGTACGAGTTTTAACAGATTTGTGATATTACCTAGTTTCGTACGAGTTTTCACAATTTGTGGTATTACCTAGTTTTGTACGAGTTTTCACAGATTTGTGATATTACTTAGTTTCGTACGAGTTTTAACAGATTTGTGATATTACCTAGTTTCGTGCGAGTTTTCACAGATTTGTGGTATTACCTAGTTTTGTATGAGAGTTTTAACAGATTTGTGATATTACCTAGTTTCGTACGAGTTTTAACAGATTTGTGATATTACCTAGTTTCGTACGAGTTTTAACAGATTTGTGATATTACCCTTTGTACTAAGCTAAATGCAAAATAGAGTATTCTATTCTCCCGACATCATTTTCGAAGCGTTTCCTTAAACAATTTGCGGCCGTTAAACGAAAAAATAAAACCGAAACAATTGGTTCTTTGGCCTATAAGTGTTGGATGCATAAAAGGCTTTATCGGTTAATTATTGAGTCTTGGAGACACTCCTTTTGAGATTTTATGAAATGGTCACTTAGATCCTAACTTGGACATTCGCTGAAAAGAAAGTCTCCGCTGAAAATTTTCGAAAATGAAGACACTTCCTTGAAGAGTCAGTTTTCATCGCTCTGACAATGTCTCATATGACCAAATTTGCAAGCAGCAACTATCTCTCTATACTTCTGCTTAGCTTTGAATATCAAACGAATCTTACAGCTTTCAATCTAATCCTTAATTCTTCTATCTCATTTGATCCATCCATTGAAGGAGTTGTCGCGTATCTTTCCATATCTTTTAGCGAATCAAGAACTATTCTTTTTTTGAGAGAAGACCGTTTTCATTCTTTAGAGAATCCCCGTCCACCGTGATAGAGACTATCGCGTTTTCACAATTCACATATTCTTCTTCAAAGCATCTTGATCCCTGTCAAATGGAAAACTATGCTATTAACAATAATTCAACTAGTGCTTTTCAAAACATACGAATACTCCGTTTCACTGTCATTGGCAAACTATTCTGATCACTCTTCGACAGCCAAAGAAATTTTTAGTAAATCATTTGAAATTTTGTGAAAAGTTAGATTCCTTGAGTTCTAAAGAGACAACTGTTTCATTCACGCTCGCTTCTAATATCCAGGGATATGAATGCCAATGAAGTAAATAGTGTGTGATCACAGTGCAAATAGTTTCAATGGTATTCCATATTTCACAAATCTCAAAATAAATGATGAATGAAGTTGCTCGAGGTGTTATTTGACCAGACCAGACCTGAATATTTTTGCCATTTCAGGAGGGAGGTACTTTTCTACTATCATTAGGCAAACTCTTGTGAAGTGCTAACATGAATAGTGCCATGCAAAATGTGTTTGAACTAGGAGCACGGCATTAATGGAAACAACAATTTTAGTATTTTTTGTACATGAAAAAATTAATCTGTTATACAAGTTAATGTTACTTTTCATGGCAAATTCATGGGTAACTAGTTACATCTTTCACTTCCACTGAAGTCAGCGTTACTGTAACTAGATAAAATTTTTCAAAAAATGAAACTATAATGCATTACTCTAGTGGGAATCGACCACTCTACTTTTCTGCAACTTTTTCATTGCTTAAAAACATACATTTCAAACTAGACAAATTTATTGAATCGAGCACACCATTGCCTGCACCTTGTAATTTTTTATGTATAAGATTCTGGAAGCTGATTATGGTTCATATGCAAATAATATAACCATTATCAACATACTAAAGGAAATTTCTAGCAGGAAAAAAGTGAAAAATATCATAAATAACTGCGAAACAATATTTACTAATGTTTTACTGTGACTTTGTAATGGTATGTAGTAAAAATTTCTAACTGAATAAACTTTCACTGGAAACTAGTTTCAATTTCGAAAATGTTAACTGAAACTGCAAGAAGTTACAAAAAAGTAACTTCTATAGCCCTGACCCATAACCAGCAGTTGGCAAGTACAGTCACCTGGTGTTAGACTGAGCGAAGTGCAAATATATTGCAAAAGGGAAAATTAGGGTTAGGATTATTTGCTCTTGGATTTCTCTTAAATGTCAATTGTCATTTTGCCTCTTGGGGTGATATAAAATATATTGTGTTAGTTATCGTTATATATGATAACAAAAATCATTATTATTGAGAGTTATTCTGCTTCTTTACTCAAAAATTCTTACTTTTTATCGGCATGCAGCTATACAAAGCTATAGACAATCAACAAAAGTATTCCTACACACAAACTATGTAAATGATGTAAAAGTTTACCGTTCACCTGCATTGGAATGGGTCCCGACTCCCCAACGTATATCACTGCACTAGCATCGCATAAAAAATCAGCTGTCATTACTTTGATTGCTCAAGATCGCAGTTTCTGTGCAAATGGTCTTAAAGAAAACCAACAGCTAAAGCTGTATCCTGTAATCAACTTCACAAGTCAGTTGAAGTTGAAATTGCCATATTAGAAATTCAAGTTGATGAAAGATCGTGTTTCCATTTGAAATAGGAGTACTTCATGAGGGGAAGGGGAGGTTAACGCATAGACTATCTTATACTGCAGTCATCTACACTGAACACGCAACCCAGTCTTTATTATCTTGGTAAAATAGCATGAAGATACAACTGAGAAAAACCTATTTACATGTAAGAACGGTTTACCTCTAGAAGTTCGTCGGTAACTGGTTTATTAGTGAAAGTAAACTAAATATAAATAAAGGTTCGCATAAATAAACGTTTTTAAAGGTATAGCTATTAATGCTTGCTCGAAATGAATGTTATCATTATTATGATAAGAAAACTTGTCACTTCACTTGAGATTCAGTCTTGGTACCATCCCCAGTGCTAGCACTCATGGCTGTCATAAACTCTCAAACTCTGAATCTTGGTATCGAGACTAAAATTTCAATGGGGATGGCTTACACACATGCAAGATTATATGTGGAATGGGTTGAGTATCACAATCATAGTGAGCTTATAATTTGGAAGCTTATATGCATGGGAGCTTATGCATGGTGGAGGGGAGAGCTCATAGCGGAGCTATACGATATTTAAGCTAGCATTAGACGACAAACTCTTTTAGCTTTGCTCAAAATATGGTTCAATATACAAATTTAATGTATATTTAAAGTTCTGTCCCTAAAATTTATCGTTGTTTACTTAGTCCAGCAGCTCAAATTGATTAATTACTTCGAATTTTTCCATGATGAAGATGTCTGTATTTTTATCATATAATTATTGGAAGCATCCGGAATTTCAATTGGGGTGTCCCACCGTAATACTTAATGATTAATCTACTTATCATCCACAATATTTTTAACCTAACTCAGATAATAACAAACCCTATTAGAATCACTAATCCATCTAAATTCCTTCCTGATCTTTGTTTTGCAAACTTTCCAGATAAACTCTGAGTGTCGACTGTCGACAGTACAATCCCTCGCAGCTTTTCTGATACGTCTGGGCCGTCTGGCAATATAAATACTGTGCATTAAAAACCTTTTGAATTATAATCTCTAATAAAAATGAATGGTCCAGTGGTCCAGTTCAACAGATAGTTAATATTCCTGCCAGAAATTAAAACTTGTGCTTTTCAATGTTCTTTTTCAATGTAAGTTCATTCAATTTCTACTAAATATACCCTTACGAATGAAAAAGTGACAAGAGCATTATCCATTTCTAAAAGTTGGGAAAACAGAGATCTTAGAAAGTTTTGATCGATTTCAATTTATTCAAGCATGCCAAATTGTGTCTATGTTTGCTTATAATCAACTCTACCGTTATTTTTCATCTAATTATCTGCTTTAATCCTTATTAATTTAGACTTAGACCTACTGTAATCACTCTAAACTCTTGGCCGGAACTACTAATACATTTGTTTGTTTTCATTGATAAAAGGAAGGCCTTTGACACCATTGACCATCAAATTCTTTTATCAAAGTTTTGAATTTAATGTGTGGATATCATGATAAGGGGTTATTTTGGTTTTTATCGAAATGATCGTCGACAAAAGTTCTACGTCATTGGCCAGACTTCAAGAAGTTCATCCGCAAATATTGGAGTGTATGGTACTCACAAAATTCTGTTATGGAATAATTGTTCCATTTTTGCTTTTTGTTTAATGTTTTAAGGATCTTCAAAACTTCTTGAGCGAAAGTTTACCGAGAATGTTTGCAAATGATAGTGATACCAAGTTTACAAACATAAGTTTTTGAAGTAATTCTCTTTCTGAATTTAAAATCTTGAGAATTTTCAACAGCATAGTCAAAACCAAAGGAGATGACAGTAAATAAGTCAAGCCCTAAATATTGACGGTTTGTGGTCAAACACAGCCCCCTCGTCACCCTAGAAGATGCCCTAGCAGCCAACACCTACGAGCAGCCAACATCAAAGATCGTATACTAACTACATATTTTCCGAATTACGATACAACCACGTCGAAGATCTCAAATTACATAAAGTACCTTTGTGCCTTATAAACGGCACTATCACTTTCAGAACTGTCATCCCGTGGTGAAATTACAGACTAGTTATAGAAACGCCTTTCCTTACTTCCGGCTTAGTGGTCTTGGTGTAGGCGTGAAGCCTTAAAGCGCCAGTGAATCAATTTATAAAGTAAATCAATTTATGTTACTTCAGTTGTAGGCAGACAGTAAAACAATTCATCAACTTCATTAGTAATAACAACATCTTCGATCAAAGAAAGACTCAGCATATTCAGTGAGTTACACAGGGTAAGTGTCAAATTATTATGTCACACGATAGGAAATATCTGCGACAAACAGACAATGAACGCGAGCTCATTTTTCTGCTCTTAATTATCCGTCGCGTTTTATAGTTCAATTATCAAAACGTACAATGCTTTAATGACGTTCGCAAGTTCGTTGACAATGATTCGCTAGTAAATTAGCATATATGACGATGATATTTAAAGATAGTTGACATAGTCATCATTGCATAACGAACACGAATGTTTTTCTGTTGACCAATTTAAATTTTTTGTCAATCTTATCCACGAACCTTTGATTGACGCAATGTGTAAATGTAATAAAGACACCTAAAACAGTCTCAGTTACCAATGTGTTTTTGAAAAGCAGAAGAAAGGATGTTTTACCACGCAAAGCTCAGGCAAACTTACATGCGCAAGACAAGATCAATTATGAAGGAAATGGATATTACGAATTTATTTCTTGCTATGTATAAAAAAACCCATCAGATTAAATATGATTGTTCCTCGCTTAGGTAGACGAAGGAAGGTGCATTGATTCGTACAAACTAACCGCAAACCTATTTGTCATGACGTACTGTATAGTGTATGTGTACGAACATGGCATTCATCATATTATCACAGATTGTTGAGTGTTTGCGGTCTGCTGCAACTTCCACATTAGCGCTATCGAGAGGGGGATTACAATTTTCCAAAATGATTTCGGTGTTCTTACTTAAATCGTGGTAGGAAGATTAGAATAGATATGTTTTTTACACACACTTTGTGAGTTTGTGCCTGTGTAAATCGGAAATGCGTCTATATTAATAGAAATATGTGTCGTTTACAAAGAATTAAAATATATTCTACTCTTATCTTATAATGCAGTAATGCTTTTATCATTTGAATTTGGTAAAAATTACTTTGACTTGCACTGAAAATGGAGCAATTTCTATCATGAAAATACAAACATCATCTTAACTCAATCGTTCACATGCCTCAAAGAAGAAAAATTAGGAAGAAAGTATGCGAATGAGCTGTAAGTTAGTGGTGTCACACTATGGTGACAGTTGTGGTACGATAAGCCGGATAAGGAAACTAACTGCAACTCATTCGAAAAACTTTAAGAGATACATAATCATCAGGGGCAGATCCAGCGTCTGGGCTGACCGTGGCCCTGTGCCGTAGCGAGTGCCTTCGGAAAAGCGAATTCCGGCATTTTTAATGTAGAATATAACAATATTTTAGTTATAATCTCATCTAAAAAAACTCTAATATCGCCATTTTTTAATTCTGTTCGGATAGAAGAATAAAATTTTACTTACTTTGTGGTGTCTGATGTAAAATCAACGCAGTTTCCGTACCTTTCTGTAATCACAGTTACATGTTGCCGCAGTAACATGTTTTCTTCTCATACTGTAAGCAGTAGATTCAATCCAAAAGTGCAAACACTGTATAAAGTGATACAAAGTGCGTTATATGTTGCGAAAGAGTTTGCTGGAGTAAATAGCAAACAGTGAAATTTTCTGCAGCTTTTCTAAGTTAGTCTTATTTTTTTATATACATTATGAGCTGTGACAAAAAGCGACTATAAAACAGTCAATTTTTATTTTCCATAACAATGATACCATCATTTTATGTCATTTTTCATTATGTCAGTATGTTTTGAGTTTCCTCCTAAAAAGTAAGTGGACACTTTTCCTTTATGAAGAAAAGTGAGGGAGTTTAGTCTGATGCCCCAAACGGTATGACCACAGAAGGTTAAAACAACATTCATTCTAAAAATACGTTTGCGGTTTGAGTTATGTGATAGCATGAATGTGTGTCTCCAGTCATAATATACTGCGGTTAGTGGAATAACAAATCGAAAAAATCATGCACTGAACGTTTTTGACCACGTGTATATCACCACAAGTGAGGGTTTTTGTCAAAAAAATTATTAAAAAGGTCGAGCAGTTCGGGACATTTTGAAGGTGCAGGGTGTAAAATGAAATCTTCGTCAGATGGAAATGAACAATCATCGCTATCCCTATCACGAAAACCGCAAAAGGTCTGCAGCGCGTGCTCCTTTCTCTCGACGAGTGATTTTCCTTTCATGCTTCCACTATTTATCTGATCGATAATGCCAGCTTGTTCAAACGATGATTTTCTACACCAGTCATACTTCCAAGTTCGACCGGATGTAACATTTATAAAAAACTCGCGCACGGTGGCTGTATTTCTCATAAGTAGAACGCCAGCGTTCAGCATTCTGTCCTTTGGTAGCCAGGAAATCAGAAGGTCTATCTCTTTAGAAGGCATAGCGGCCTCAAGAGATTTTTTCATGTCTATGAAGGCTGCATCTGTATCGATCCAAAGCAACAGTTTGCAGTCAGGAAGATACTTAAAAATAGCGTGTACTTTGTTCCAAACTCGGTGACACGGTCCAGCATGATGGAACCCATACGTCTCTTCCAGATAAGCGTAGCCGTGCTGCTCTGCATACTTTTGCTTGTTCATGTGTAGTCGAGGAAGGTTTGGATTAAGACATTCCGAATAAAATTTGTGGCTTCCTGCAAGTCGTAAAGTCAAAATAGTAAAAAGTACTTGAATTGGTCGACACTCGGAATGAGAACAAAAAATCGTACCATGTTTAAAATAAATGTGCATATCCGGAGTAATGAATGAAATGATGCGATTTATGTAAAGGCACGTGATAATTATAGAATTATTAGGATGGCTCCTAACTTCCTATGGCTATGAAAACTACCGATGCA